CAACCTGATGATTACCATGAAATTGGTTATGAAGGCGGAGAGGACTGCGGCCAGCGTTTCCCAGATGGTGGCTGGAATGATGCTCACTGCTCCCGCGCTCTTCAGTTCATATGTGAAAAGGAAATCTGAAATCTGCATGGAAATTCATCCTATGCTTACTTTGTGGACCTAGTCTTTGGAGAGAACCCTGTCCAAAATAAATCAAAATAATATCTTAACTAGTGCTTCCCAAGATGATTGATATATTTCAGTTCTAGATCTCGTGAACTACAGTAACATATCTGTTCCAGCCTTGCTGCTATTTGCTTAATATACAGAGGCATTTGATATGATCAACCATGATATCCTATAATTCCTTAAAGGGCTACTCCAAGCATTACAACCACTACAGCCCCCTGTATTGGTTATGATACTATGAGCAGTCTGGCCAGTTCCCCAGTAACAGGACAAACCATTTTGCAATATTACCTGGGTCCCATCTCGCTTCTTCTGGTCTTGGATGACTAGCAAGTTTGGTGCCAATCCAGCCAGTTATTTACTGATGGAAAGCATCAGCTGAGCTTTCTCAGGCAATGATTGACATTCTTTCCATGGAATATGCATAGGTTTGATATTAGCCCAGAACTCGCGTTTGCTTGCTAACGGTACTGTGATTATGCTGGCGAAGGTGGAATTACTTGTCCGACAGCAATATAAAATATCTCTGTATGTTCAGTGTTTTATGCTGAGATACAGACTGCAAGCACCATGAACAATCCAAACACTGACGTTTATGGTTCTTGGAGTATCCCTTTAATGGCACAGAATTTAAGATACAGTGTGTTTGTGGTCAAGGTATTTTCTGCACTTTTGGTTCATGTTCATTTCACCATAATGTAATGCTTTCTTTTACATACACCCATACATAGTATGGTTCATTTTAAAAGAACAGCTCAAATGTTCCAATACCCTATCTTCACACATAACAAAACATTAAAGGGGTGCTTGGTCACTGTGCTTGAAGTCTGTATGTACAGGTTTTACATTTTAACCCCTTTGCTGTCAGATGTGTAAACAAATGACATTCTATTCCATCAATGTTTGTTAAAGCCCTGAACTGTACCCTCATCTATGCAAGAAAATTAGACTTATTGCAATGTGAGACTGTGTTAAAGGATGATTATTTTGAGCCTGAAAGTTGGATAGCTAGACTTAAGCTTTCTTAAAATACTTGCAAAACATTATCTCAAACTTAAAATTACATAAAGGGACATGCATCACTTAGAGCCAAGCTTCTCATTCAAAAACTGTGTGAACAGTGCTGCAGTACTGTTGAAGACGATCCCAGTTTAAGATAAGTAAAAACCATTTTAAAAGTCCTATGAAACATCAGCACTCGTTTAAATACTAAACATCACAAATAAAACTATAACAGTTACAATTTAAACTTCTTCAACATCCAATGAAGAACTCATAAGATGAAACAGAATTTGCAATTTTACATCAGCATGTAGATTCTTGGGAAAAGCACTGTGTATGAGCTCTGAAGGTAAATAAACTACTTATAAAATGTTATGGCAGGTCCCCCCTATGCTATCTTTGAGGTGGACAAGTAATTCTTCAGAAAAACGTCTGTTTACACCGCCACACACTGTGTCCATTGTTAGCAACAACACAGAAGTAAAGACAAAAAAAAA